GGTGGCACTAAATTATAACAATCCTCATGCAATTGAGGACCTAGCATTTAAGTGTCTCAGGCATTGGAGGGATGAGGTGTGCGTGTGTGTGTGTGGGAATCAAGAGTGAAATGTTCCATGGTCTTTCCCTTATTTAATAATCACCATGAAGAAGATTTAAACTATTCAAACTTCCACTATATCCAGTTCTAAAGCATAGCTATAGCCATTCCACTGAACTGTGTCAGCCCTTCAGGGTAGCCTACACAAGAGGAATTTCACCCAAGAATCACAAACCATGAATACTAATACTACCTTCATTGTAGGGTTGCAGTAATAGAATCTCGAAAGTCTGAAAGCCTTTAGGGTTAGGGTTTCTATAGTTTTTCAGTCAGATCAAGGCTCCATAAAAATGCCCATGATTCAGAAGCTTTAATTATGTTAACATTGCATTTTAGCCTAAAATCACATTAATATATTTTGCAGTCACTCTATACCAGTGATGGCTAACCTTTTTGCCATCATGTTCCAGGAAAGGGGGGGCGGGGGAGATTTGCGCATGCACGTGTGTGTGCCCACACCCATAATTCTATGCACCCTGCCCTGCGCACGCAACCTCCCTCCCCCCCGTTCCTGGCACGCAATGGCCCAGTAGGCCCGTTTTTCTTTCTTACCTGGCTCCAGATCCTCTCTATGCATCTGGGAAGGGCGAAAACAGCCTTCCCACCCACCCCCAGGCCCTCTGGAGGCAGGAAATAGCCTGTTTCCCTACTTCTGGTGGGCCCAGAAGGCCCAAAAATCAGTTGGCCAGCACGCTGAATTGACATGCCCACTGATATGGCTACGCGTGCCACCTGTGGCACGCGTGCCATAGGTTCGCCATCACGGCTCTATACACTGTAATCAACGACTGTTTCTAAGTCTAAAATATCGTTAGCCCGTACTATACTACTTCTCATTTGAGTTTGTTTCTTACATTGACTTCTGTTAAATATCGTTCTTTTGTCTTTAGTGCATTTCTCTACCTTACCAAGATCATTCCTATTTTCTCGGATATTAGAAAGCCCAACTAAACGTTGCTTCATTTTCAAACTTGGCAAGTATTCCCACCACCTCTTCATCACAGTCATTCATGAAAATAAAGGATGAACATAGGATGGATTGACTGACCTTGGACCATGCCTTGAGATCCCTCACTCCAATTTGACAAGAATTTTCTGATGATCACCCGCTCCTCTTAATTGCAAGGTGAACACACTTTGCTAACCATTTTTCTACCCAATTCGGATGTTGCTCTGAACTCATCCCCAGCCAAATTTTCTTTAACTGTTCAGGTTTTATAATACAGTAAGGATACCTGTAGACACTTGTTTTTAGAAATATGTGTATAATTATTTGTTTTCTAATTTTCACAAATATGAATGGTCAATCTTTTTTTCTACTCTCCTCCGTTTTTTAATTAGAATCGTTTGCCGTTGTGCTTTTAATAATTTCCATTTTAGAAATTTCACCTGTCTTTAAGCCCCGTTTTCCTTTAGCATCGTTTTCCTGCCTGTGTCTGCTTTGTTTCTATGACTATATTTATTACAGTCTAATTTGCAATGGTTGATTAGAATCCATTTTTAGTCCAAGATGCACTCAGCTTCAATTTCCCTTAAAATCAACTATTTCAGCACTTTCCTCCCCAATGTTCCTTCTATTTCCACTTTCCTGGCTTGGTATCTAGTCAAGAGTTTGGAAGTAATCAAGTGGTTGGAAGCAGTTAAGAATTCTGAATTATTATGTGCTTTCCCAAAACTGGTTGGCTCTCAGAGCATATTCCAGGACTCCCTTTTTTGTGTGTGCAGAGTTCTTCTCTAGGACCCCTTGATGTTTGCTGTTCCTGGCAATTACCTAGTCTGCATGTCAAAGCTACTGGTAATGGGATATAGTACTTCTGCAGGTACTGAATGCAGAATGAATGCAAAACGATACACATGGGAACAAAAGAGTGTCAATTTGATTTTTACAGAACAAAAATCCTGGCTAAGGATGGAAACCAAGACTCAATCTATATTGAGAGTTCTAGAAATGTAAGAGAAATATTGCTGTTAAGTGATTTACTTTTCATGGTTGGGTAGCCAACATAATATTCACTTAGGGATCCATTTTCTTCTGTTTCCAGATATAAGGCTTAATTTCCCATTTGTAGTTAATCTTGATTCCCAGCTCTTTGCGCTGGTAGAGTTTTTTTAAAAAAATTACATTTACTATTTGTTGAGAGATATTTAAAGGTTGTGTGCCTCTAAATCAGTGTTTCTTAACCTTAAGAGCTTTAAGATGTGTGGACTTCAACTCTCAGAATTCCCCAGCCAGAAATTCTGGGAGTTGAAGTCCACATATCTTGAAGGTGCCAAGGTTGAGGAACACTGATCTAGATACCAATCAGGGATGAAATCCAGCAGGTTCTGACAGGTTCTGGAGAACCGGTAGCGGAAATTTTGAGTAGTTCGGAGAACCGGCAAATGCCACCTCTGGCTGGCCCCAGAGTGGGATGGGAATGGAGATTTTGCAATATCCTTCCCCCAGGAGTGGGGTGGGAATGGAGATTTTGCAGTATCCTTCCCCTGCCACGCCCACCAAGCTACATCATGCCCACCAAGCCACGCCCACAGAACCGGTAGTAAAAAAATAATTGAATTTCACCATTGATACCAATGGCTAGGGGAAATTAGTAGATCAGGAGGAGATTTTTAATGTGACCTGCCTACAAGGCTTCCTATTGGTATCTGGTGACCATTTTAGAAGCCAGACACTGGTCTAAATGGACCCTGTGCTGCATGAATGGCAGACTTCCTATCTTCCTATGATGAATAACATGTTTGTCAGGAAGGGGAAAGAGAAAGGATTCATCACTCTAAGATTTTTAGGCTCCCAAATTCTTTGTATGCTCCACATGCACAATATTGCAGAACTTATTTCATTTATTTATATTTATTTGCCTTTTGCTGTATTTCCAAGGTAGCTTATAATAGAAATATAGAATTAATATTAAAAACAGTCCAGAAAAGACTAAGGAAATTCAAAGAGCTTGATCTGTTTTGTGGCTTGATCTTTAGCTCCTCAGTTGGGAACACGGGAGCCATCAAATGGCTTTATTCTTGTTCTTTTTAAATGTTCCTTCCTGGTTTCTTTCATTTCACTGCTTTTTAAATCAAGAACAGCCAGAGTCCAGCCACAGACACATGGACAAGCTCAGAGGTGGTATTCAGCCGGTTTGGACTGGTTCAGGTGAACCGGTAATGGAAATTGCAGTGGGACTGCCCTCCTGCCCTGGCTCTATGCCATCCTATTTAGACACGTTTTTGAGGCTGGGTGCAGGTGCGGAAGGTAGGCGTGCAAGCAAAGCACATGCGCGGAAGGCCGGGCGCATGCTCAGAAGGGACGCACATCAGGGGTGGATTCTACTTACCTTTACTACCGGTTCGCAACAGGATCACACGCATGCACAAGTGAAGTGAGTGCGCGTGCCGAGCTTCTGCGCATGCACAGAAGCTTCTGCACATGCGCAGGTCACCTATGATGATATCCGGGGCGATGGGTGGAGCCTCCTGCCGGTTTTACTACCGGTTCTTGCGAACCGGTTTGAACCGGGGACAACCTACCACTGGCGCACATATGTGAAGTGAGCGTGTGCACGGCGAACCGGTGGTAACAAAATGTGAAACCCACCGCTGGACAAGCTTCTCTTTAGCTTCCTAGGTAGCCAACTGTCCAGAAGTTAGTGAAACATCACAAGTCACGTCTATCACAATCATGCTTTTCTCCTGATTCCAAGTTTCTAGAAAGAATGGAATCAGGTGATCATTTTCAGAAGGATGACAGGAGGGGTGACCTCTTGATCCCAAACTTGCCTGGATACCCTCCAGGTTCTTCCTTTAGGCTCCTAAGCCAACTACTCCTTCAACCACGATAGCATTTTCTCCAAGCTGAATCCCAATATTTAGCCTGAGTTAAGGAAGATCTACGTACGATAGACCACTCATCCAGCACTTCTGATTAGCAGCAACCATATCAGGGGTGAAATCCAACAGGTTCTGACAGGTTCTGGAGAACCAACAGTGGCAATTTTGAATAGTTTGGAGAACCGGCAAATACCACCTCTGGCTGGCCCCAGAGTGGGGTGGGAATGGAGATTTTGCAATATCCTTCCGCCAGGAGTGGGGAGGGAATGGGGATTTTGCAGTATCCTTCCCCTGGAGTGGGGAGGGAATGGGGATTTTGCAGTATCCTTCCCCTGGAGTGGGGAGGGAATAGAGATTTTGTAGTATCCTTCCCCTGCCATGCCCACCAAGCCACACCACGCCCACCAAGCTACACCCACAGAACCGGTAGTAAAAACATTTGGATTTCACCACAGAGCCGTATGCTGAGACTATTATTCCCACGTTTCCTTAGGAAGAAACAAATTGGGACTTTAAGACATTTCATAAGCCCAAAACTTTATGGGTTATCAATGCGTGAAAAAAAGAGTTGGGGCTTCAATTGTGCAATCACAGCTACGATATTGACTTTTTTTTTGTCCCTCCCTGCAGACTTCCCTATTCTTAAGACAGAAGGAGAATATCAGTACAGCTATAACAAAAGACACACCATCACTATGGAAAGGACAACTGAAATGCCTTTTCTGGGGAGCTTCAACAGGCCTCCCATTTGTGAGAAATTCAACAGCAAGCCTAAAAGGTATTTCCCCCCCCCCCCATCTTCGCTGATTTCTCTTGCTGTTTGAGATTGCCAGCGACTATTGATATATCATACTAATTTTTCCAGTTGATATATGTTGTATTGTTGTTCTATTTTTATCTGTTATTGGAGGTTGCCAAGGAGACACTGTCCTAAAAGTTGAAACACAAGTCGTGGAAGCCAAACGAAGAAATAATTTTCTCAACCTTATTAAACACATGTTTGTTCCTGGGTTGTATCCATCCAGCGATCATCATCATCATCATCATCATCATCCCCCCACCATGTCTGATTCCTACCTGCTGGGCAGTTGCACCTCTGGTAGATATCTCTAGTCTCCCGATGTCTTGGCAAATTGAAGTTTATCCTCTGTAAAATGAATGAGGAGGAAAGCAACATTAGCGATTACAAAGCCAAAGGTTTCTGCTTGCTAAAAAAAAACATTTTTGTGTGTGTGTGTGGAATCAGCTCTGAACTACAAGGAAGAAGAGACATCTGTTCCTGGGTCAAAAACAGACAACAGCCTTCAATTCTAATCTCAACATCTGTTTGACTGAAAGCAGATAGAACTCAGTGAATGGAATTGCTACACAGCATCTCTGCTGTACAGTCTGAACCACAATTGTGTGCTTTTTCCGTCTAAAAGGACTATTACCCACTTAGAAGAGTTGGAGAGAAGTTATAATTATGGAAGCTTTGGAGCACATCTTACCTTGTTTTGTTTATGGTCGCCATGAGATCATAACCTAAAAGAAGGCCTCCTGCAGTAAGACAGCCTAATCTAGTGATGGTTAACCTTTTTGGTGCCAAGTGCCTGAAGCGCGTGTGCCCGAACCCTCAAAATGCAATGCGAGCGCCCCCCTGTGCATGCGCCCTGTCCTTACGCATGCACATGCGTCCCTGTCAGTGGTGAGTTCCTCCCGGTTCAGTCCGGTTCTCCCGAGCCGGTAGTGGTGACAATATGACATCACCGAACCGGTTCTGCCCCCGTGCCCCCCGCCCCGACGCCCCCCCAACCCACTCCCCATGTTATTCTTACCTTTTATTTGGCCCCACCCCCAATCTATTGCTGCCTCCTGAGTCCCAGCTGATGGCTAGAGGGAAAAAAAACTGTTTAAACTCTTGCCACGGGGCTTCAAAGGGCCGTCCTACAGCTGATCAGTGTTAAAAGAAAACAAATGAGTAGACCAGTGCCTGCAAAAATACATGAGTAGATCAGTGCCTGCAAAAATAAATGGGTAGACCAGTGCCTGCAAAAATACATGAGTAGATCAGTGCCTGCAAAAATACATGAGTAGACCGGTGCCTCTAAAAACAAATGAGTAGACCGGTGCCTCCAAAAAGAAATGAGTAGACTGGTACAGCTCTGCAAGCAGTTAAAAGCCTGGTAGACCAGTTCCTCTACTAAATCCTAAAGAATAGTCACATGACCATCAAGCCACACCCACAAAATAAGCCACACCCACAGAACCAGTAGTAAAAAATTTTAGAACCTACCCCTGGTCACCGTGAATGCATGCGCGTCCCCCGCGCGTGCACCCCAGCCCACAAGCATGCGCCCTGACCCTCCCCACCCCATTTTGGATTCCAGGTTGGTGCAGGAGACTTTCCAGGCCCAAAACGGGGCACCAGGGGGCCTCACGCAGCACCCCCATACCCCGTTTTGGCTTCCACGTTGGTCAAGGCTTTCCAGGCCCAAAATCAGGCATAGGGGGTTGCATGTATGAACCCCCAAAATGCAATGAGAGTGCCCCCCATGCATGTGCAGCAGAGACCCGAAGACCAACTGGCCGGCGGAAGGCACGCGCACGTGTGCGGTGGAGCTGGGCTGGGGCAACGCTGACATGCCCGCAGAGTGTGTGCCACCTGTGGCACGCGTGCCATAGGTTCGCCATCACAGGCCTAATCCATGTGGGCTCTACTGTAGGGTTTGCATGAATTTACCACGTATTTCCTTCCTCTGATCATTTTATGAGATTTGAGAGCCTCTTTTCACTACTTGGCCAACAGGAATGAGACATGGAATTGGGAAAATTCAGCCCCACTCTGTTGGGGATATGAAAGAAATGTGTGTTTTACTTCACATTATAATGATAAATTATCTCGGAACTCTAAGATTCGGGTTTTCCCAGATGTGCCTCGGAGGTTTTTAATTGGAGTTGGGGTTTTCTGGAACGCTGACACCTTAAATGTAACTGGGGCAGCCTTTTTTTTTTTTTTTTTACCAAAAGCATCATTAATACTTTCCTGGTCCCAGCTAGTTATGCATCTCTGTATTGTGGTTAATAATAATAATAATAAATTTATTTACGGTCACAGACCAAAATGCAAGCATAGCTACAGAAAAACATAGGGAAAAGAACATCACGAACAGCCGCCACCGGAAGACCCAGCTGAGAGGGACCACAGCGCTCTCCTCTAATGGTTACGGCTCTTAGAAAAAATTTTGAGACCTGAGAGGTAGTGTATGAGGAGCCATCCCCTAGACAATACAAGCCAAATCACTATCATTGGCCCACAGAAATCTGTCTCTAAGAGAGACATCAAATTACTCCTGGCTACGTTGTACATGGGGCAGTGTAAAAGGACATGCTCCACAGTCTCAACCTCCGCTCTACCACAGAGACATAGCCGCTCGCCCCTCGGAAGCCTCTTGAATCGACCGTCCAGCAATGTTGAAGGCAAGACGTTAAAACGAGCAAGGGAGAAGACTCTTCTATACTTAGGGATGGTTAGAGTATAGAAATATGAGGCCATCCTCAGTCCAAAATTATTAAGTTGGCTAAAGACCAGAGGGGAGCAGGTTTTATTAGCTCTAGCTCTCAGATATTGTAAGTCTATGTCCACAAGCCGTTGGACTACCCTACATTGGCGTCTTTAAGGCCATAGTCTCCCATGGCATCCCCCGAAAAACCTAACAGGTGGAGTTTCTTCGTCAGATCCCTCTCCCATCGAGACGTATAGGGTCAGCTAACACCAGGGAGAGGTAGCTGCCAGGGGCTGCCAAAAAGAGTGCCCGAAACCACCATTTAAAGGTGTTGATCCACGCCATGCATTCGACTGATCGAATGCCCAGTTCCAGATACATCGGAGCAAAACCAACACAGGGAGGGAGACCCAAAAGTTTCCTTAAAAAAGCAGCCTGGGTTCTTTCAATACACTGTATTGTGGTTATATGATACCCTTATATAACCACGATACGTAGATCAAGACCACAAGTAAACATCTTGGACAAGCTCCTTCCTAGTTCCTTTCTCCTTCTTAGGATAAAGAGAAGGAAGAGGAAAGTACGTTCTGGCTTGCATCTTTCTAAATTTACAAAAAAGTAATACTGACTTCCATGGCATTGGTTTCTACTTCTGGTCTGCCTTGAAAGCCTCACACAACTTTACTGTTTCGCCAAATGCATATGCTCCAGCGTTCAGTAGTAAATAGGAATAATATTTTTATGCAATTTTGATGTATGACACTCCGTTATTGCTCTCTTCAAATTGCGTCCATTTCACTTTTTTTCCGCTAAGGCCAATAAATATTGAGTACAAGAAACTCTAAGCGAAGAAATCATTTCTGTGAAAACTCCCCCAGTTTGATGTAAATTAGGAACCCAACAGCCTACACAGTTGTGATATTGATTGTTAGTCAGTATTTAGAATATTTGACAGTCAAATTATAATAAATATATTCACAGGAATGATGTTTGTACAAATTTGTAAAAATGCCTACATGGCTCAGGGCCAGGTTATCTTCGAGACCGCCTTCTATCACATAGCTTCCAGTGACCGGTAAGATCCCACAGAGTTGGTCTCCTCCAGGTCCCATCAGCTAAACAATGCCGACTAGCGGGCCCGCGGGGGAGGGCCTTCTCTGTGGCTGCCCCAGTTCTCTGGAACCAGTTATCTCCTGAGATCCAGACCATCCCCACCCTATTCGCCTTCCAAAAAGCGGTGAAGACCTGGCTTTTCCTGCAGGCCTGGGGCCGTTGATCTCGCTGTTGCGATCTGGCGAGATCCGGCCATGAATGGTGTGAATGGATTTTAATTGTTTTTAATTTTAATTTTTAATGTTTTTATATATGGTTTTTAAATGCATTGTAAGCCGCCTTGAGTCTTCGGAGAAAGGCGGCATACAAGTTGAACAAATAAAATAAAATAAATAAATAAATTTGAAGAGTAAGAGTGCAAAGGGAAACACTTTTTTTGCTGAGGAGAAAAACCCAAAAAATAAATTGCTGATGTTCTTTTAAAGAAGATTAAACCCTTTGCACAGATACGGTTAAGAAACATCACTCGTATTTTCAGTCCATGGGGCATGATATTCACTTTCCTATATCCACAAACTTGCTGAGAGGAGCCAAGGTAGTTAGGAATAAGATCTATCTTTAACCTTCTTAATCTATTTTTAAGATCTAATATATGTGACCTGGATTTCATTAACCCTGAGGAATCCAGCAATCCTTCTCCTCAGAATACACATACATCCTTAAAAACTGGATAGATTTAATGAATTCCTCTTTGATGGATTTAATGATATTCTTTAACATTCCTAAATATCTGCTCCTAATTTTCATACAGTACATGCATTTTCCAATAGTTGGGCCTATTAGGTTTGGATTGGACCAGGATTATGAGTGATTATCTCTCCAAGACTATAAAATCAATGGCTGGATAAGGGTCCAAAGAATAGGCTGGCACTGCTCTGTTAAAAGACAGGTAAGAGCAACACATTTTTTAGCATTTTTCTTGTGCCTCACAATCTGGAGCTTTCATACTTCTCGGTTATGGAGATTGACATTGCATGTTCTTGTCAATAAAGTCTTAAAGTTCTACAGAGTAAGTGTAAACTATGTAAGCTACAGGGGTGGGTTCTAAAATTTTTTTACTACCAGTTCTGTGGGCATGGCTTATTTTGTGGGTGTGGCTTGATGGTCATGTGACAATTCTTTAGGATTTAGCAGTGGTACTGGTCTACCAGGCTTTTAACTGCTTGCAGAGCTGTACCGATCTACCCATTTATTTTTGCAGGCACTGGTCTACCCATTTATTTTTGCAGGCACTGGTCTACTCATTTATTTTTGCAGGCACCGGTCTACTCATGTATTTTTGCAGGCACTGGTCTACCCATTTATTTTTGCAGGCACTGATCTACTCATGTATTTTTGCAGGCACTGGTCTACCCATTTATTTTTGCAGGCACTGGTCTACTCATGTATTTTTTGCAGGCACTGGTCTACCCATTTATTTTTGCAGGCACTGGTCTACCCATTTATTTTGCAGGCACCGGTCTACTCATTTGTTTTCTTTTAACACTGATCAGCTGTAGGGTGGCCCTTTGAAGCCCCGCGGCAAGATTTTTTTCCCTCTAGCCATCAG